CATCCTGGTCATGGTGGACAGCGAGAACGCTGGCGACAAGATCAGCCGGCGGTCCACTGTCGGGCAGGTCGTGTTCGTAGGCGGCCAGGTGGTGAAGCACGCTTGCAACCTGTTGCAGGTGATAGGACTTTCCTCCGGAGAGAACGAGTACTACGCGATCAGCGCCGGAGCGTGTACCGGGTTAGGCATCCAAGGCTTGTTGGAGGACTGGCAGGTCCCTTCGAAAGTCAAGGTGGTGTCGGACTCTTCCGCGGCGCGCGGCTTTGCGTCGCGCCGAGGCGTTGGGAAGCTGAAGCACGTTCAGACCCGCTACTTGCGGGTGCAGGAGAGGATCGTCATGCAGCACCTGGAGTTGGGCAAGATCGGTACGGCCGACAACAGGAGCGACCTATTGACGAAGCCATTAGGTCGTAAGGAGATTGATGTCCACATGAAGGGTATCAACCAGGAGTGCAGGAGCGGTACACCGGCGAAGGGGCTGCTTCTGAAATAGGGGAGCGGCACAACGCCGAAGCAGCAGGGACGCGGGTAGCCCCGCTCTCTCGGGCAGCAGCGGGGACGCGGGTAGCCCCGCTCCCTCGGGAAGCAGCAGGGACGCGGGTAGCCCCGCTCCCGGCGCCCCCGGGCAGGAGAGCAGTCTGAGGGGAGCTGCGGGCAGCCCCGCGCACCCCCCCCCCCGCGAGCTGGCTGCGGGCAGCCCCGCGCTAGCTTCACTTTTCTGCGCAGTGGTGGTCACGCTGGATCGCCACGGCTCCGCTACCGGTAGTCGTAGGAGGTAAAGACCTCTCTCGGCTGCTCGCACTGTGAGCCAACCCAAAGGGTTCTCTCGCAGTGAAGAGGGGTGAAGAAATCCCCCTCCGTCGGACTAGCTGTGGATAGGTATGTAGGTAGATGGATGTAGTAGTGCAGCATAGCAGTAGATAGCAGTAGAATGCAGGAGAGAGAGCAGGGTAGTGTTGCATTGATTCATTGCTTATCTTCCACAGCCCCTTTCGGCGAAAAAGCATTTTCATATTGTCCACATAGTCCGATAATTCTACAATAGTTGAATGCCGCACATAAGACGCTAATTACCAGATGCTGACGGATGATGCGACCTGACATTCCCAATGTTGCAGCTCAGGCATGCGTATGTAGCGAATAATGGGCTCACGGTACTCCCATCGTTTGTTAATATCATGGACATCACCGGTGAATGGCGTAGATCAATACCCTCAACCTGGCCAAGCAACCCAAGCCAACTTCCACATGCCAAGCATGCGCTGGCGGAGTAGGGCCGCAGGCGACTATAGGAATGCGTGTAAGCCCGAAGTGCCCCAATGCTCAACAGCGTGCAACAAAGCGCTAATATCATACAAGCGATCGGTCACCCACTGTGCGCGAGGGCACTGAGTTTGACGAACTCCCTGCTGATGCAGCCAGCTCGACTTGGATGGTAATGATCGCATTTTCGGTATACGAAAGACTGAAAGATGAGAGGGGGCATGCGGCGGAAAGGAAGTGGCATAGACGAGGCAAAACGAGACGAGCGCTGGAGCTGTGACGTAAGAGGCAAAAAGGAGTGGGATGTAGGACGGAGGACGGAACGATGATTTAATGTCTCCCCACCCTCTCCAAATTCGTCCCCCTTCGTTCACCCTCATTATTGATTCCTTCTTCCTCCTCCCTACTCATCGTCCTTTCTCATCCATTCCTCCTCGAGCATGAAAGCTTCGCGCTGGGTCTCCACGACGTCCTGGGCAAACAGAGCCCACACCGAACATGTTTCTCATATGCCGCGCCCTAGGCGTACAAGATTCTCGGCGCGGGCGTCCGCGGGGTCAGGATGGAAGGGGACGAAGCACGACAATCAGCGCGGAAGAAAAAGGGGGATGGCCGGGATGGCAAGGGGGTGTTGCGAATCAGTTATCTGGAAGAGTTTTCCCGGCGCCTCCCGGCGCCCGAGGCGACAACGCATCATGGAAAGCGCCCGGCGGCTCGGCACAAACAAGTTGCGCGCATCAGATTTAATACCCCCCGCCCTGCCTTGGATTCCAGCGTTGGTCTGTTAATATAGAGGGGTCATGAGGCAAACGTTGAATCACATATTCGGCCAATCTGTGCGTGCGCGGTCTGGCGAAAACGGGCGGCATCAACACGATGCCAGAGGAGCACCGTGGACTCGAACGTTCGGCCTAAACGCACAACGCGTACACCCCGATAGCCTTTTTCTGCAGCCGTCGCTTCTGTTCTACGGCGTTGCACGGGCACGCATAACACCGCCCATATGAGCGCCAGGTGGCGCCCGCCCCACCCCCATGCATCATCCTCCCCCTCCTCGCCATGCCCCTTCCCCTCCGCGCCTCATTTTCTTCGCGTCCATCCGTTCCCCCCCGTCGTCATCACGCCCCTCCTCGTCCTCGTCATTATATTGTCCCCTTCTGTTACTGCAAGTCGTTCCTCCTCACCCTCCTCCACCCGACACGCCCCCCCCCTCTGCGCCCTCGCCAACCCCCCTCCCTGCGGCCATGCGCAATTCATCCCACCTCCTTTTGTTCCCCTCCGTTTTCTTCGCCCCCGTGATGCTGGCGCTAATGCGGCAATTCCTCCTGGGCCCATTTCCTCTACTCCCCTCCTCCCCCCTTCACCCCCCAAGCCCCTCGCCAGCTCTTCTCTCGCATCCTTCCCGTCCCTTAACGCATCGCCCTCAAGCATCTGCACCATCTGTCCTCCTAACCCACGGCCCCCTCCGTGACCATTAGGGCGACCCGCGGCAACTCCCACCCAGGCACCACTCTAGCCAGTAACCCGCAGCACGTGCACAGGTGGACACACGAACTGTGTACTTCGCCTGCGTGCAAAGCCCCCCCGTGGACGAGCCGAGAGAAACGTGAAACTTCCCGCCCAGTCACCACCACCCACGGGGAGCACAGTCCAAACACACAGATCGGAGCACGATCTGTGTACACAGATCAAACCATGATCTGTGTAAATGGTGGGCCCACACGCGCAATCACACAGTTGAAGACACGAGCTGTGTACACAGATCGCACCTTGATCTGTGAATTTTAGAAAGGCAAGCGCTCGCCACCTCGAAGGCACCCCCACTTTGCCAAACCAGAGCCGACGTCGACGCCCCCACCTAATGGGGGGAGCGCGGATGCACACTTCCCTGGCCCAGGGTGGCCCCCAGGGACTGCAACTACACACATCCCCGTCCCAGGGCGGCCACCGTGGAACGCGGCGCCAAGGGTGCCCCCAACGGCCCCAAGACGCCCCCAAAGGGCCCCGAGTGGCCTCCCAAAAAGGCCCGACAACAGTCCGACAACATGACATATGTCACACGACCCAGATATCTGAGCAATCATAGCTCGAAACGTCGCCGTTCGGACCGCTGGGCTGGCGCGGTGGCTGACCTTGCCGCGGGCACCAGAAACTTCACATGTTAGCGCTACGACGGTGTATTATGGTGGCAGGCGCCGCCCGCGCTTGGACTGCGCCGCGAACGTTCGCACTGGCCGCGCCATGTACTTTTGGCCGGCTCGCTGTGCTCGGATATCGAACGGGCAGTATAATGCGAACGCGGGCGCGCGGCCCCATGATTTGCGTTGTTTTGTTTGAGAAACGACGGAGGACGAGGTGAGAACACGGATGGTGGAGCAGGGATGCAAAGAGGAGGAGCGAGGAATGAAGGGGGAGAAAAGAGGAGCCCCCTGCCAGAGCCGCGGCTGCCTTCGACCCCATCCAAGGGGAAGAAAGGAGAAGGGAGCAAGGAGGAGGAGGACGACGGAAAGCAAATGTTCAGCGGTCCGAAAAAATACCATATAATTGCGATTCGGGGGACGCGCTTCCCTTCTGTACTCCCTCCTATACAACTGCCTCACAACAGAAGGGCACTGGATTCCAAGCCCTGCCCCAACCACCCCCTTTTCGTCCGACCCGAGAGGAGCGAGAAGACACGCAGGCGAACCGCACAAGGCGAGCGGAGAGACGACAAGCACGCCGGGAGGGCGAGAGGACCCCTGCTGCGCCTGCCGCGATCGACCTCCCGCCTCCCTCCCTTCAGCCACGTTCTAATTAACCTGAAAATTTCCAGCTGGAATGACCGACGCGAGTCGGCTACTCTGCCCGCGTCGGCATCGCGAAATCATGTCGATGACATTGTCGCCCGTACTTCGACGGCTTGGCCCGCAGCGCGGTCGCACTTGGAAGCTGCCGAACTGCGCTACATCCGAGTCTAAGCTTCTTCCGCCGCCTCACAAGCGAATGGCTGTAGGGAAACGGGTTGGAATATAACACTGGTTTGTAGCAACGAACGACGATCAAGGCAGTTCCCCTGTGTTGCCGCGCACGGTGTACGTGGGGGCCCTCGCCAAAAAAACGCCTCATCGTTCCTTCGACGCGCGCGCGAAATCCAAAACTCAGAATGTGGCAACCACATGTGGGGATGTTGAGACCCTCGCTGCGAGGGCCTCACCGCAACCTCAACGCGGCCTCATAATGCGCCAGGAATCAGCGATAACTATGCGCGAATCAAGTACGAGAGATGTTGAGGCCCTCGCCAAACCAAAACTCCACTGGTGCCGCGCGACATACTCGAAGACGACGCGGGAACCCTGTATGGGGTCTGTTGAGGCCCTCGTTGTCAGGATCGCAGACCCCTGCAGCGGCAGCGTGGGCGTGAAAGCCTACAGCTGGAATGGGAAAACTGCTGCAGGAGAAGGGATTGGGGGGAGGAAGAGAGAGAGAACCCAGGATGGAGGGCGACGCACCAAATGCGCATAGATGGACTCGCGTGTGGGACATCTGGAGGCCAAGCACTGGACACGTAGTGAGCCAGCGGACACAGCCACTCAACGGAACGGCCAGGCGCTCGACAGAGCCGCGTCCGCACGTGCCGCCAACTTTCAGGCCGCCCACGTCATACGCATCCAGCTCCCTGGCACGAGGAGCAAGAAAGGCGGCAGGCGAAGCGCACGGTGCGAGCGGAGAGATGACGGGACGCGCCCGGGGGGCGGGGCCTCGCCACCGAGAGGGAGGACCCCTGCTGCGCCAGCCGCGGCCTCGGGCAGCGGGCCTGCAGCGCCCGGGCCGCTTCCTGACACCGTCGTCGTCGAGGCCGTCGCCGTCGGAAAAGGAGGAGGTGAAGGGGAAAGCAGAGCACCACCAATGGTCCGACGAAGCGCGACTAGCTAGATGGCACGGAAGATGGAAAATAGGCAACGGAACGCGTGAAGGGGCAGAGGCGGGGGAACGGAGGGAAGAAGGAGGGGAGAAACCGGAGCGGAGATACCCGTGCCCGCCCTGGCCATAAAGTCGTGGAAGCATATAACGGGAACTGGTTCTGGAAGCTTTCCCCTGCCTTCGGGCCCACCGAGACCGCCACGGGCCCCGAATTCGGGTAGAAAAAGCGAGGAGTAACAAATAGCGGAGCAAGAACAAAAACATACAAATAACGTATGCGGTGTTCGAAACTGCCCTCCCCTTCTGCTTCTCAAGTTTCCGTGTTAATCCTTTTCCAATTCCGTTCCTACCCCTCCTTATCTTCTCCGTGGTCTGTCGTCTGGTGTCCGCTTTATGTTTCCGTTCCAGGCAGCCCCCTCCCGCCCGGCGGAAAGATCCGTGGTTCCGACCTCTTCCGTTTTGCCTGCGTCTACGGTTGTGTGTATATAATATATGAATATTTGAATTTATGAATATATATATATATATATATATATATATATACATATACATATACATATGTATGTATGTATATATATATACATGTATGTTTCTGGTATTGTTTCATGCTTCCTACCTGTCTGGTCCCATGGGCCCCACACCGTCAAAAAGTGACCTGCTGGAGGAAGTAATCTGGTCGCCCAGCAGGCCCAGGCTACTCCCAGGTTTCCCGCAAGGACGCCACCAAGCGGCCGAGATGTCCGATGATGCACCCCCCAAGGGCCAAAAATGCATCCCCCAAAACGGCCCCAGGAGTCCGAGAGGACCCAGGGTGGCAAAAATCCCAAGATGCGGACCACGAGATTACCTAGAATCCAGCATGAGGGTACCGCGTCCACTCCTCATTCCCATGCCTGGCTCGAAGAACCAAGCGAAGGTCCGCACGGAGTTCTGGAAGCGCGTCGGGGGCGGCGCCAGAGGCGCCGCCGCGGGGGTCCAGCGCCACACCCAAGAAATCCGCGCAAACCTCTGAAAGTTGTAGGTTGTAGATGATATTTATATGCTGGTTGCGCTTCCAATTCGAACAGGGGCAATTGGTTCGCGCGGGCGCTGTGCAATTCCCCAGCGTGACTGTGCAAGGTCGTCGCCCGCATGGGGCGCGCTGCCTGACTGGCTCACACGCTGCATTGTCCGATGGGTTTTTGGGAATGTTGGGCGCCCGAAATATCCGGGGTAACTCGGGTCCGGGGTAACTCGGGTTTGGATTCCCGAGAAAGGAACCCGAGATAGTCCTGACCCGAATAACCCCTGATGATGTGGGGCTCTGGACGCCCGAATTATCCGGGGTAGCTCGGGTCCGGGGTAACTCGGGTTCGGATTCCCGAAAAGCGAACCCGAGTTAGCCCTGACCCAAGTTACCCCTGATGACTCGGGGCTCTGAGAATGCACAAATAATGATGGCAACTTCCTCTACGAAGACCCTGATGCTCATGCCGCTACCCCACGAAAATGTCTCAAAGTGCGTTCTGACCGGGTCGGGAAAATCCAGCCGCGGCGACCGGGGACAGGAACCAGCATCGGTCGATGCTCCTCTTCTGATTTTTGTTTGGAAAGACTGGGGGCCGCCGACGTCGCCGAGGCATCGCGGATGCACCAGCGACGCGGCGATATCCCCCAGCCCCGCACGCCCCGGCGGCGCATGGGCAGCCCGGAAAGGCTTCACGCTTTCGGCACCGCGCGCGCGGCCTCCGGCTTGGGCTCGGGCCCCGCCCCCCCCCCGCCAACCCCCAACGATAGGTCGCGCCGGGCGGTGGGCGTTGGTGCGCGCCCAGAACCTCCACGGACAATCTTGGGCACCTTACTGAGAGCGCGAGAATCCCAAACCAAACGTTGCCTCGAGAAAATTTCCAAACGGATCTCCAACGCAATATTCCGAGAATCCCCCCCGCGCGAGATCATCCCGAAAATCCCCCGATATCTCCCAGACATCTCCCGAATAATCTCGCCGCCGCTAAGTCCCAAACGAAATCTCAAACATTTGTTTCTGGTCGATGGCGCGAAAGACAGCGCGCGCTGCGGCCCCTTCCGAGGGCACTGCCCTGGCCATGATTCGCGCGCGCCACACGCTCAGGTGTGATCCCCGGGCGAGGCTGTCTCAGCCACTGCCGTGCCCCCGGCCCTGGCACACTGCTCCTTGGCGGCAATGCGGGCCCGCAGCGCAGCCCAGCGGTCGGCAGCAGACACCAGCGCGCTGGCCTGCGGCGCGCGGCGAGGGAGCCATTCCGCCAAGTGGGCCTCGTCGCGGGCAGCCTGTAGGCGCTCCGCCACCCGGGCTTTCTTGGCCCTCGCCTGGTGCCGGACGAAAGCGGCGGAGGTGGCGGCGGCACCCAGCCCCCCTGGCCAGCCGTCAGCTGGGTTTCCGCCGCCGCTCGTCGCGGCGAGCCGGGCGCCCGTCTGCGCCGCTTGGCTGCTGGGCCCGCGAGCGCTGTCGGCGGGATCGGCCTTGCGCTTGCAGCCGCGGGTGCGCCTCGGCCGCTCCGCCTCCGAGTCGCGCACACACTGGCGCTTGCAGCTTGGGTCCACAGGCGCCAGCGCCTCGAGGGGGCAGCGGTTCGCGCACGCGGTGGCCCGCCCTATCCAGACGGCGGCCTCGCGTAGGCGCGCGGCAGCCTCGCGGGCCAGCTGCGCATGGGCCTGGGGCACCGCGTCGCGGCGAGCGGCCTGCTTCGCCTAGTCGTCGACGAGGTCGTTGCCAGCGACGTCGTGGACCTTCGCCAGCATGCCGTTGCTCATTCTCTTGCCGACGTAGCTCGTGGCAGAGTTGTGAGCTGGCATCCACAACGCTCGGTCTGGGTTCGACTCGAAAGTAACCGAAATGGGCCCCCGCGCTCTGGCCAAGGCCCGGCAGGGCGCGGTGGCCCACCGCAAATCTCGCTGCGCTTCGATCTGCACCGCGGAACAGCCCTCCTCCAGGCGAGCAGCAGGGTCAAAAGACTGGACGGCCATTAGCAGGCCCCACAGCTCCGTGGCATGGATGCCAACCGCCCGCGCTGGGGCGCGGCCATGCGCCGCGGCCACGAGCCGCCAGTCGCCGTCGCACGCAGCGATGGCCCATTCCTGCCGGGCGCGCAGACCATGGAGGTCCGCTTCCGCATCCAGTCTGGAGCCGCCAATGCACGCGTCGACCAGCGCAGCCAGGGGGCCAGGCGGGACCGCTCATTTCAAGGACTCCTGCTCTGGCGGCGGGTCCACCGAGGAGGCTGGAGACGGCGCGATGCTTCTGGTGAGCAGATCAAGGTCAGCCGCGCTGAACGACAGGACGCCTTCGTGGTCCGTGTGCTGGCGGACCAAATCTTGAACCCAAGCGGGGGCCATCCTCTGCCTGTAAGGCGCCGCGGCGGGGCGCGTGAGAATGCGATGCGCCGGGCGCCCGGTGAACCTCGGGTCGGCGACCTGGGGGTCGCGCAGCCCAGCGCGCACGCGGCCTGCAATTGGCGGCGCTTACCAGGCCAGCTCGACGAAATCTCGCCTGCGGCCACTGGCGGTTCGCATAGGCTGAACGGAGGGCACCTTTCTCAGCGGGGCCCCAGTTCTCCCGCTGAGAAGTTGCCGCTGCAAAATTCCCGTCAACATCTCACATGACATCTCGCCTCTTGCCAATCCCCGACAAAATCTCAAACGTAATCTTGGGCGACCAAAATCTCAAACGCAATCTCAGCGCGCGCCGACCAAGGTTCGCGCCGCGCGCGGCGCGGTGGTGAGGCGCAACTTCGCGACTGCGGGATCCTTCGACATCGGGGCCATGCTGATCGGAGCTCTGCGCGCCTTAGGAATGCGCGCCAATTGCGGCGCGGACGGGCGCCGCCCCCCCCCCCCCCCCCCCCTCGATTGAGCGACCGCCTCGGCCGCGACGCTGAGCGGCGCGCGCGCGGGGGGAGAGGGCCGATGGGCCAATCCCTCCCTCGCTATCCGTCGACGGAAGCAAGACGTCGGCGATGGGGCGGGGATGCGATGATCTCGAACTCACTGCCAAACGCACCTCGCGAACGGGTCAACGCCGCCTGGGCCGAGCGGGGCAGCAGGCGTAAAAAATGTGAGATTGGAGGAAAATCCACGCGGGGTTCACGCACAAGGAACCTGGTGATCGGAGCCGCACTGCGAACGGCTCCGCGGCCATAACGAGCCCGGCCGCAGCCGGAAATAATTCTCGGCTTCAACCAAAATAGCCGCGGCGTAGGGGCGGGGGGGAGACAGGGGAGCCGACGAAGATGATGGAACAAAAAGAGAACCCATGAGGCGCCAGATAAGCGGCCACGCCCCGGCGCGACTCGATCCGTTCGCCCGGCGAATTTCCGGAGGCAAGAAATGCCGACGCGCCGACCTCCCCGCGCGCGACGGCGCCGGGGCCCCGGAGGCGGGCAAGGAGGAGGGGAGGGGATGGACGCGGGGGGGGCGACGACGGAGGGCGCAGATGGGGGGCGCGGAGGAAGACGAGGAAGAAGAAGAAAGGGGATAATCAGGACGAAGGAAACTCGCCAGCACAACGGTCCAGGTTTTTGCCCACGCCCCCAGGCCGCTAAGGACATCTCGGTTTCGGGAACTTCCGCATGGATCATGGGATTCCTGGACCGCATCTCACATGTTCCACCGACAGCAAAGCAAGGGCCCCCCGCAAAAGGACCTGCCCATGCGCAGCGGCGAGAGCCGCAGTTGTGAGCGTCGTCTTCGGCGGGAAACTCCGCGCGGCCACGACGCGCGCGACGCGGCGCGCCAGGGCGCGGGCGCGGCGGCGCGCGGGCGCCGCTGGGTTCTCTGAAAAGGCCACCGAACGCACGGGAAATCCACCAACATGGAATGGGGCAGGGGGGGGCGCCCCGGTGCTCCATGCCCCGCGTGGCGCCGCGGATCGAAGCGCGAAATGGTTTCCCAAATTGG